CCCCAAAACCCCAAAACCCCAAAACCCCAAAACCCCTCTATTTATCAATAAGATTGATAAAACTTTGGAATAAATTTTATTAATGTCAGTTGAAGTGAAGGGAAACACTGAAAATGAGTATTATGTCTCTCTAGGCAAGAGGCTAAAGAGACGGTCTGAAGAGTTCAGGAACACAGTCAACCTCAACGCTAAGGAAATAGCTAAAGAAAAACGGAAATAAAATAGATTCTAAATGGAAACGTGAGTACAAGATGAAGCTTATCTATCCAAATAAGCATTCCTAAGGCAGAACACAAGAAGATAATTGATGTTTTACAGAAATAAGGAAGGTATTTTGGATATTTATGTATAGAATGGCCTAAAATATTGAATAGTATGTACAGTATTGAGGAAGAAACCCCTCAACCTGAAGAGCCAAAAGAACCCAAAGAGGCTCATAAGCCTAAAAATTTCGCAAATATTGGAAAAGAAGAACTTAATAAACATCTTTCTGGTGTACAGTCGATCGAATTGAGGATAAATAATAGTACTAGTATATTAGATGTCAAACAAACTGATAAAGAATCCTCAAGGTCATCGACAATTAGTATCAGGAAAAATCTAAATGAGAATTATGATCCAAAAATGCGAGAGAAGTAAACCTCATAGTTCAAACTCTAGACCACCAAGTATATATGAAAAAGTTGGCTCAATACACTCTGTCCATACTCAATCTCATTCAAAAGAGCCTGTTTCGAAGAAATCCTTGCTAGGACCAGCCAAGGTATTTTATTTTAGTTAATTAAAATAGACTTTGCTTAACAAGTCACGTAAAATAGCGAAACAGAGACAATCCAGAAGTGTTTCTCCATCTAAAAAGTTCCAACAAAGGAGAGAAAAGTGGGTGTACAAGCCCTCACCAGACGAACTTCTTAACAGAGATCCCTCGCCTTCTGAATTCCGATCCAGATGCCGGACCAACATGAAGAATGCTATTGATGAGATCAAGAGAGGCTTTAATCAGAATATTTACATGAAAAAGGTGATTAGTAATATTAAGAATCGGACCAGAATAAAACTGTAAATTTTTAAACTATATTTAGCAACAAAGCTGCGATGAGTGTCCCAAAGATCTGGATGAGTCAGGAAGAACTCCAGAGGACCAACAATGCCAAGTATAAGATCACTGGGTCAAGACTCAAGACTATTTTTGGGAATAAGGCACAAAATGTGCCAAAAAATCGAAATAAATGCTCTACCAAGCATGAAGGACTCAGTTATACAATGAATACTTTTGAATACGCAGACTCTAGGAATATGAACAAGAGTGCACAGGGAATCCTTAAAGCTTCCAATTCAGGAAAGACTATTAAGTTCAAAAATGAAGCATCTCCAATAGATTACTCAACAACCTTCCAATGCGAGCTAGGAAATAGCTTTGAATCTAAATTCTCTACATGAAACACGAATGATCCAAGGGTAAACTTTCCTGATTTGGATAACATCAACGAGGGACCCTTCTGTAACTCCAAAACAATGATCATTCAGGACAACCAAGAAATGAAAACATACTCAGTCCATGAAGATGATTTTTATAGCAATATGGACTCTAAGCTCGGCAAGAGCTTGATAGATCTGATCAATGAGAAGTCTCCTAATAGCAGAGTTCGCAATAAAGACCTGAGAAAGGACTCTAGGTCGAGGATGAACTTTAAGCTACCCTCTTTCCCATTCTGTAAGACTTGTAATAAGAACAACACTGATTTCCTTCAGAACAAGAACTATTTAGTCTTCCGAGATGAGAGAAGCAATAGTGTGTTATACCCAAAAGACTCTTTTATCTCAAAACTTCAGAGTGGAGAACTAGAAGTAGCCAACGGCTTCAAGAATATCAAGATGATACATAAGGCTATAGAGGACTATCAGATCAAGAATGGTGCTTCTCCTGAGAGGGATTTTGATTACTCGTTTGCTAAGAAGTAATATCTAGCCCCTTACTTTCATTATCCTGAGCAACAAAACCAAATATTCAATCTCTAATAACTCTTCTGGGGTTTTGGGGTTTTGGGGTTTTGGGGTTTTGGGG